AGTGGAATACGTTGGAAGTTAATAAATATTTATATTCTCATTAAGACTAGGCAAAGTTATATGCTTAGTTATTTGTTATTTCAAAAGATATGTCGCTACTTCAATACTCATAATTTAAAAAAATAGTACATTTTATGCGTGATATAAATTAAAGAAATTATAAAATTTCAAATTCTTTTTTTAATATATAAAAATTGCTTGACACAGGCCAGCCCAAGCTCGGCTCTGGCTTTTTCCGAGCCGACCCCGAGCCGTCCAAGTCTCTGAGCTTTTTTACCACCGCTAATCACCAGACAATTTACATTTTGAAAATTTGTTTTTGAAGTATAAAAAATGGGACTATTAACCATCAGTTCTGATGATTTCGAATTTTTTTTCCTGGTACGACAAATTGTTCCATTTCACAGTTCTGGGAAGTTGCTCGATTCTCAAGATACTTGGACTAGACTAGAGCAATGCTATTTTGTGCCTGTTTGGCAAACCTAGGTTTAGGCATGGTTCAGGTTTGGGTGATTTGGTCAATTTTTCAATTTTTTTGCCCATTCCTAGACAAATCTTAACTTCGACAAATTTTTTTTTATCTAAACACTTATTGTTTTATCTATACATTTCGTAAGGTACACAACTTTTATGCACTTAAATAAACAATATTTCTATGGTATACTAAAAGTATTTTCAAGAGATTCTTTAAACATAAGTTACTTTCTATTTTGAAGAGTCAATTCTTAAAATTATATTAAAACTCTTTAAATTAACATTTTAGAATACAGACTGAGTTTGTTAAATGTATTAAAAGTACTTCAAATTTCAATGGAGAAAAATAATATAATAATTTAGAGAGAAGTTGATTAAAATAAAAGATTGGAAAAAAATATAATAATTTTAGAATGCTCATTTATAATGTTACTAAATTTTAAATGGACATTAAATATAGATTTCGTCATCTCTCACCTACGTAATTAGTATTGTGTTTTTATTTTTATTTTCAACAGAATGTGCCACATAGTGGATTAAAAATTTCTTAGTGTCTTCTTCTTCAACTTTGTACTTACTCTCCAAAACATCCCATATTTTCATTGTCGATGTTGTGTTGGTTTAGAGATCATATAATTGGTCCGATAATGCATTCAGAATGTGACCGCAACATATGAGTTCATCTTCTTAGCGCTTTTGTCTTTCGGCCCTCACCGCATCGGTTTCTTCATTTGTTGGTTCCGGTAGTGGCGCAAATTTCTGTTCAAGCATGTAAATTATCTTTAACGCTATTAGTAGAAACTTCAGTTTATCTTGCCATCTTGTAAAATTCGTTCCATCAAAATGATCCATCCGTACATGATCTTGATTCATCAACTTGATTGTAGCAATACTGTTTTTATTCTTCATTGCGCAAGGATATAGTTTGGGAATTTTGAGAAATTTAATGACCTCCACTTGAGAGATCGGAGAATAAAGCAATGAACCAAAACCAGAAAAAAAAAGATCACCAATGAAAGCAACGAACTAAACACCAAAACATGAACGGATTTGAAAAAGAACACCGATGGCTTGAACACGATATCGCTGTCCTCAAATTATATTTACCCCATCTCGGATTGAAATAACGCTTGTAGGGATTAAGGAAAATGGTTTGCATGATTTAAACAAGCCTTGTAAAGAATTAACACTCAANTCTCGGATTGAAATAACGCTTGTAGGGATTAAGGAAAATGGTTTACATGATTTAAACAAGCCTTGTAAAGAATTAACACTCAAGCATTAAGTGTAATTCTCCAAAACTTGAAAAACACTAAAGAAGAATTTGAATATGATGAAGAAAATTGTGATTTCTTGTTATTTTTGGAATTATTTTTGTTCTTGAATATGACTATGGTTTTTGTATGTTTTCAACAACATTATAATGATCACAAACCACCTATATATAGCCAAGAGACATGGTCATATGAAGTGGTGCCAAAAACCCTCCAAAAGTCACCAAAAATTTGAACAAAACGGTCACTAAGGCTCTTTTGGCCTACTATGCGATCGCATAGTTCAACACTATGTGACCGCATAGTTCAACACTATGCGACTGTGTAGTTCTCTTCATGGTAGGGATAATCCCTGCCTTGGTCTATGCATTTGGCCTATGTGAATTTGGCCTCCAATATTAATTTTCATTCCACATTATTTTAGAATCGTTTTTTTATAAAATTTGAACAATATTTTCAACATATGCTATTTTCGATCTTGGTTGAATCTTTTATGAATGAAAACAAGAAGACTATGAAGGAATTTGCAGCAGAACTAAAGAAATTGGCAGTGTATCTTCTTGATTTGCTTTGTGAGAATCTTGGACTAGAGAAAGGCTATTTGAAAAAGGCATTCTATGGCTCTAAAGGCCCTACCGTTGGAACCAAGATTAGCAATTATCCCCCGTGCCCCCAGCCAGATCTCATCAAAGGACTTCGAGCACACACCGATGCTGGTGCCATCATCCTACTTTTCCAGGATGACAAGGTCAATGGCCTCGAGCTTCTTAAAGACGGTGATTGGGTTGATGTGCCACTCCATTGTCATCAACACTGGCGACCAATTCGAGGTATGCCCAACAGTCAAAGCTACCAAAACTCGTGTTTTCTTTATTCCGTGTTTGCTTATTATTGGTCTCGAATTGAGATGAAATCTTAATTCCTTCCAACTTTGTGTGAAGGTGATTACAAATGAAAAGTACAAGAGGGTGATGTACATAGTGATTGCGCAAACATATGGAAATAGAATGTCCCTTGCATCATTCTACAATCCCGGAAGTGATGCAGTGATCTATACAGCACCGGAATAGGTAGAGAGTGAAGAGAATAAAGACTTGTATCCAAAAT